TTTTGAATCTTGTTTCAAATAAGGACAGTTAAAAATACTATTGCTCAATTTCAACGGTAAAATCGTCAATTTGATAAAAATATAAACTAATTTGACAAAAATAAATGTCAAAAAAATGTTTTTAAATTTTTAAAAATTATTTGTACCCACTAAAGCTAAAATTATGTAAAATTGATCAATCTTTTACACATTTATTTAATTTTGTGTTTACCAAATTAATTTTTATTATGTGTTTAGATGATGACCATGTAATGGATAGTTGTTAGGCTGTTAATATGTAATCGATATATTTAATATATGAAATGTTTTTAGTTTTGAATTTTTTGATTTAATGGATTGGTTTAATAATGATATCAAAATTATCACCATATTTAACTTTTGGAAAAATAGAAACTAAACCAAACCAAACCAAGCCTTAAGTCCCATCAAATGGGGTCGGTTACATGAATCCTTCTTCTCCACGCGGCCCTATCACAGGCCATTTCATTAGTCAAATTAAGTAGATTCATATCTCTATTTATAACGCTAGTCAACATTAATCTAGGCCTACCCCGTCCCCTAACACTTCCATCTATCGTTACAGCATCGCATCTCTTCACTGCTGCCTCTGTTGGTCTCCATTGAATATGACCAAACCATCTCAAACGATTCTCTCTCAACTTATCCTCTATCGGTGCTACTCCTACCCTTTCCCAAATACACTCATTCCTAATCCTGTCCTGTCTAGTCTTACCACACATCCACCTTAGCATCTTCATCTCAGCCACACTCATCTTATCTACATGTTGTTTCTTGGAGCCGTTCTATAGAACTTACCTTTTAGTCTAGTGGGTATTCGTTTATCGCACAATACCCTAGACGCACTCCTCCACTTACACCATCCCACCTTAATCCTATGGGCCACATCTGCATCAATCTCTCCCGCTGTTGTGATAATCGACCCTAAATATTGAAAATGTTCACTCTTAGGCAGTTCTTGGTTCTCAATCTTCACTTCTCCTCTGCTTTCATTGTTACTGTTACTAAATTTACACTTCATGTACTCTGTCTTAGTTCTGCTTATCCGAAATCCTTTAGATTCAAGAGCTTTTCTCCAAATCTCCAACTTTGTGTTAACTCCTTCTCTAGTCTCATCTACTAGCACAATATCGTCTGCAATTTTGGAAAAATAGAAACTAATTTAATAAAAATAAAAACAACCGTCCATTATATGATCATCATCCAAACACGTAATAAAAATTAATTTGATAAAAATATATAAATAAATGTGTAAAGATTTATCAATTTTACATAATTTTATTTTGGTGAGTAGAAATAATTATTAAAAAATCAAAAATATTTTTTTGACATTTATTTTTATCAAATTAGTTTATATTTTATCAAATTGAAGACTTTGTCCTTAAAATTGAGCAGTGATATCTTTAATTGTCCTTATTTGGAATAAGATTTAAAATTCGAGGTCAAATGTGTTACACATGAAAAGTTAGGGATCAAAATGACACAAGTTCCAAACTATAGGGACTGCTAGTATAATTTATCATTAATGATCAATGTCACTATTTTAAACATTTGAACAATTAAGGCATCAAAATGATGTGCATGCAGCAGTAAAAAATTTAAAATCTCTCATGCGATCCCTTCTTGAAACCGAAAAAAAAAATTAAAAAAAATAATTTAAAAGCTCAAGATGCACCTTCCAACGTGATGGATTAAATTCAACTGGATTCTTAAAGGCTTCTGGATTCAGTTGATGAGCAGAAGTAACAATCATAATGGCCCAGCCAACTGGAACTGTATATCCTGTTAAGTTTTTAACCAATAAATATTTCAAATTCTATTATATGGACCTTATATTTGTAATAAAAAATAAAGATGTGGAGCTAATTGATGTTATTATGAAGGAATTTATAATACATACCATTGAATTTGATATCTTTTGTTACTTTTCTTAACAACCCTGGAGCTATATTTCCCAACCTAAGAATTTCGTTCACAACCTGCAATTTCACATAATAATAAGAAATACACATCATTAGTAAAGTAAGAATAAAATTTCAATTAATTAATCCTTTTGAGGCAGAAACAAAATAAATTGAGATCATCGTACAAACTTACATTAAGTGTGAAAGTCATCGATTTATATTCTTCCCATGAAAGTAGAGAATCTGGATTCTTCTTATTTCTAATGATTGCTTCATTTTCAGCCTGACAAAAGTAAACAATCATTAATATCACAAATTTATATGCATGGAGAGTTCTACTAAATCATTTATCAACCAAAATTGAAAAAGCTATCAACAATCGTGTCAATTAGTTAAAATTTAGGAGTGCAAACGTACTGTTAGCTCCTCTAAACTTGAAGGATGCTCTGAGAGTAACTTCAAACTCAATAGTATAACTGAAGTGACGGGCTCAAAGTTGGCAAATAAAATTCCAAACATAAAGTTGGATAGGAATTCGGGAGTCACAAACTTCTGAGTTTTCAAGTCTTCCATGACTGTGTCAAGAAAGTCCATTTGAATCTTGTTGGGGAAATTCATTCTCTCCACTATGGCATCCCTCATTATGCTTAGCATCTCCTTTCGGTCCTGAATATTGAACAAGATAAAAACACGCATATAAAACTTGGGAACTATCTCTCAATATATATATATATATATATCTTCAAAAACAAAGTCATAATTTCTCTTTGAGCTACTACCTTCACTATTTGGTGGAATGTAGTACCAGGAATGTCTAAGGGAAGGCACAAAAGACCGTGTAATAAGCTAGAAAATCTCTTACTTAGCGGTTTCTCGGATGATTTTTCCCAATCATAGCTAATCAACTGCTTCAATGTAAAATCAAAAATCATCTGCAGTGACCAAATAGAGATAAATGAAATTAAGCACCATAAATTAAGGCTGATTAATCAAAGATCAAATTAATGAGCTTGATTTTTTATTTTATTTTTTCTCGTACACATGCAGCTTCATGTTTGACATCAACAATTTGGTTAGTAGACCAATGACGTAGAGTTGTCTGAATGACTTGTTCGACTTGAGAGAGCAAATTCACTCTGATGCCCTCAACGCCAAACCGACTCAATGTAGTGTTTCTTATGTACTTCTGAACATTGCCCACTGCATATATCGGCAACATGGTTGTGAACGTATCCAAGTACCATAGTTCAACCGATTTCCCTTCTTCTGTAAGGATGTAATGATTGAATTTTGGATCGGTTGTTACAACTACCGGTTTACCCACTATATTAGTCCGAAACACCGGCCCATATCTACACACAATCAAAAAAACAAAAGACAACAAATAATTACACTTTAATAATGAAAAAAATAAAATAAAAATAGAATACTTGTTTACAAACTGTTTCTGAAAACCCTTTTTTTTCAAATTTGATTGTGTATACTACCTCTGGACTCTCTTAGAAATGAAGGGGTGGAGTTCTAATGATCGGCTGGGAATAAGGAGCTGAATGGTCTCTCCGATGAGAGGGAGACCCATGGAACCCGGTGGAAGAACACCATTTTCGCACTTGGGATTCCTCCATTTGCGAACCCAATGAGTTATGAATATGGTAACCGATGCTACCACGAAAGTGCTCAAAACTACTCCTAGTGACAACATGTTTTTTCTCTCAATAGAAGAAAAGGAGCAATATGGGATGATTTATTACTCTTATTCTTGGATAAGGGATGATGGGGTTGTTGTGTCCTGCATGTCTATTTATAGAAGAAGCAGTCGTAATTTAGCAACTAGCAGGTATTAAACCAACCTTAAATGCATGTTCCTATTTTCTATCAATCTACATTCACATGGCATGAAAGTCAACTTTTTTTAACTTAAAATATGTCTCTTTTTTTTCTTTTTATTTATGTTACCCAATTAGCTTGTATCCATTATTTTATTAAAGGATTTTAATATTTCCTCTTTTCTATCTATCTACATTCACATGACATGAAAGTCAACTTTTTTTTTTTACTTAAAATATGTCTCCTTTCTTTTTCTTTTTATTTACGTTACCCAATTGGCTCGTATCCATTATTTTATTAAAAGATTTTAACATTTCCTCTTTTCTATCCATCTACATTCACACGGCATGAAAGTCAACTTTTTATTAACTTAAAATATGTCTCTCTTCTTTTTCTTTTTATTTACGTTAGCCAATTGGCTCGTATCCGTTATTTTATTAAAGAATTTTAACATTTCCTCTTTTCTATCGATCTACATTCACATGGCATGAAAGTCAACCTTTTTTTTTTTAAACTTAAAATATGTCTCTCTTCTTTTTCTTTTTATTTACGTTACCCAATTAGCTCGTATTCGTTCACTACAAGAATTTTCACTTTTGGCGGCTAAATTTTTAGTCGCCAAAAGTCAATTTTTAATCGCCTATAGTCTTTAGCGACTAAATTTTTTGGTCGGAAAATTAGTAGCCAAAGAGTAGTTGGCAAAGCTAATTGGCGATTAAACTTCATTTAGTCGCCAAATGTTGGAAAATTTAGTCGCCTAAACTTCCACATTTTTAGGTACTAAAAATTTAGTCGCCCAAACTCCCACATTTTTTGCTACTAAATTTTTAGTCGGCAAAAGTATTTTTTATTCTTCAGCTTTTGTTTTTAGCTACGAAAGATTTTAATCGCCAAAGGTTTGATTTTCTTTTGGCTACAAAACATTTAGTAGCCAAATGGTTGTTTTTCTTTTGGCTACAAAAAATTTAGAAGTCAAATGTTTGATTTTCTTTTGGTTACAAAACTTTTAGTAGCCAAAAGTTTGATCTTCATTTGACCCCCCTCCCCCTTTTTTGGCTACAAAACGTTTAGTCGACAAAAACATGATATTATGTTTCATTGCAAATATTATAATGTGTCCATAACCTATCTGTATTCCATGCAACCTTTAATAAGTATATAAATAAAATAATATATAAAATATCAATCATTCCACAATCTGCATCCGTATACAAAAAATAAATTACTTTAACTGTCCAAGTACATACAAACCAACTATTGTGCAAACTAAAATAATAATTCCATACAAAATATAGAATCATTCAAAAAGTAAAGCCCTCCATATACAAAAATTACATTTACTATACCATGTGAAATGACATTTACAAAAGTACAATTTCTTCTCCATACACCAAATATCTCTGGGAGTCCACGCATCAAAGTCATCTACAAAAAAAAAAAAAAAAAAAAAAAAAAAAAAAAAAAAAAAAAAAAAACATTAGAATTGGATAAAAAAATGCCCAACTTCATGAATGAATTTGACAACAAGTGACAAATAAAAATAAGTGAGAAACAACCTTCCATGATGAATCAATTATCAGTCATTCTATAGTCTTTCTAAAGTCTTTTGTTATAAGGGACATTGTTAAATGCAGAACAATCATTACTAAATCTTTCATTAGTAACATAAAGCTAATGTAACAATCTTCTATTTGTATGCAACATATATCCAAATTCTGTGGCTAACCCAATATCAAAGCCCAATGTGAATAGAAAGTATTCTTTTTACCAACTTCCTCATTATTTGTTTGCAAAAGGCACTTGAATCATTAGATTCGATATAAAACCATCGCTGCTTATTAATATATGTCAGTGCCATTTCAGAAAGGATTTTAGAACATGTGATAAAAATAATAACAAAAATAAATTTCAATCATAAAAGAAAATATGTAGAAATGTATGTTGAGACACCTATAAATGGTTCATCAAAGAAAGAATACTTGATATCTCATGACACACATGGCCTCAGAAACACCATGAGCATGTTCTATACTTGTATGAAAGCTTAAATATAATATAACACACGTGTACGTTCAAAAAATTAGCAAGTTTATAACAAGGCGTAAACTGAGTTCATATTGGTTTCTGAATATTTTTCCCATAATTTTCCATTACTATACATCTACAATACATTCCGTCAGTTGTCACAAATCCTATTTGTATTGGGGAAGCTGCCCGTGAGAGTCAAACGGAGGTTCGGGGCTGTTTTGAAGTTTCGCCCCCGAAACGCCCTTTTTCGACTAAGTTTTGGGCATATTTGTCTCCAAATCCCAACCTACGAGTCCGAATAACATTCCGTTAGTTGTCACAAGTCCTATTTGGCATGGTGAAGCTATCCGTGTGAGCCACATAGTCGTTCGGAGATTGTTTTGAATTTTTGTCCCCGAAATGCCATTTTTTGACTAAGTTTTGGACGTATTCGGCTCTAAATCCTAACCAACGGGTCCGAATTACGTTTCGTCAATTCTCACAAGTCCTATTTGTCATGGGGGACCTGTCCATTCTCATGGAAAAGCTATCCGTCTAAGCCACACGGTCGTTCGGGGGCTGTTTAGAATTTTCGCCTCCGAAACGCCATTTTTCAACTAAGTTTTGGACGTATTCAGCTCTAACTATCTACCTACGGGTCCAAATTATATTCCGTCAGTTCTCATAAGTCCTATTTGTCATGGAGAAGTTATCCGTGCAGGCCACACAGTCGTTCAGGGGCTGTTTTGATTTTTCGCCCCTGAAACGCCCTTTTTCGACTAAGTTTAGGGCGTATTCGGATCTAACTCCCAACCTACGGGTCCCAATTACGTTCTGTCAATTCTCACAAGTCCTATTTTTCATGGTGAAGCTATCCGTATGAGACACGGTCGTTCGGGGGCTGTTTTGATTTTTTGCCCCCGAAACGCCCTTTTTCGACTAAGTTTTGGACATATTCGGCTCTAACTCCCAACCTATGGGTCCGAATTACGTTCCGTCAATTCTAACAAGTCGTATTTGTCATGGCAAAGCTATCTATCTGAGACATACGATGGTTCAGGGGCTGTTTTGCATTTTTGCCCCCAAAACGCTCTTTTTCGACTAAGTTTTGGACATATTCGGCTCTAACTCCCAACCTATGGGTCCGAATTACGTTCCGTCAATTCTAACAAGTCGTATTTGTCATGGAAAAGCTATCTACCTGAGAGACACGATGGTTCAGGGGCTGTTTTGCATTTTTGCCCCCGAAACGCCTTTTTTCCACTAAGTTTAGGTCATATTCGGCTTTAACTCTCAACCTACGGGTCCGAATTACGTTCCGTCAATTGTCACAAGTTCTATTTGTTATGGTGAAGCTATCCATGTGAGACACACGGTCGTTCGGGGGCTGTTTTGATTTTTCACCCCCGAAACGCTCTTTTTTGACTTAGTTTAGGGGTATTCGGCTCTTACTCCCAACCTACGAGTTTGAATTACGTTCCGTCAATTCTCACAAGTCCTATTTGTCATGAGGAACCTGTCTGTGTGACTCACACAGTGGTTCAGGGGCTGTTATGAATTTTTGCCCCCGAAATGCTCTTCTTCGACTAAGTTTACGACGTGTTCGGCTCTAACTCCCTGCATACGGATCCGAATTACGTTCCATCAATTCTCACAAGTCCTATTTGTCATGGGAAGCCTGTCCATGTGACTCACATGGTGATTCGGGGGCTATTATGAATTTTCGCCCCCGAAATGCTCTTTTTCGACTAAGTTTAGGGCGTATTCGGCTCTAACTCCCTACATACGGGTCCGAATTACGTTCCGTCAATTCTCACAGGTCCTATTTGTCATGGGGAACCTGTCCGTGTGACTCACACGGTGGTTCGGGGGCTATTATGAATTTTCGCTCCCGAAATGCTCTTTTTCGACTAAGTTTAGGGCATATTCGGCTCTAACTCTTTACATACGGGTCCGAATTACGTTCCGTCAATTCTCACAGGTCCTATTTGTCATGGGGAACCTGTTCGTGTGACTCACACGGTGGTTCGGGGGCTGTTATGAATTTTCGCATCCGAAATGCTATTTTTTGACTAAGTTTAGGGCGTATTCAGCTGTAACTCCCTACATACAGGTCCGAATTATATTCCGTCAGTTCTCACAAGTCCTATTTGTTATGGGGAACCTGTCCGTGTGACTCACACAGTGGATCGAGGGTTGTTATGAATTTTCACCCCTGAAACGTTCTTTTTCGTCTAAGTTTAGGGCATTTTCGGCTCTAACTCCGTACTTATGGATCCGAATTACATTCCGTCAGTTCTCAGAAGTCCTATTTATCATGGGGAAACTATTCGTGTGAGTCACACAATAGTTTGGGGGCTGCTTTGAATTTTCACCCCCGAAACGCCCTTTTTTGACTAAGTTTAGGGCGTATTTGGCTCTAGCTCCCTATCTACGGATCCAAATTACATGCCGTCAGTTCTCACTAGTCCTATTTATCATGGGAAAACTGTCCGTGTGAGTCACACAATGGTTTGGGGGCTGCTTTGAATTTTCGCCCCCGAAACACCCTTTTTCGGCCAAGATGTTCTTGTGAATGATGAGTTAAAAAGGACAACTTGAGTTAAGCTACTACAATTTCCCAACCCTGGTGGAATACCACTACTAAAACAGTTGAAAGACAAGACCAAAGTATCCATTTGCTTGAAACTACCCAAACCCAATTGAATAGTACCCTCTAGACTATTATTACTAACATCAAGATACATTAGCCCCTCAAGATTATTCAAACTCTCCGGTAAATTCCCAACAAATTGATTATCATTCAAGTAAAGTTCTACCAATTTGGTACAATTTCCTATGGAGGAAGGAATGGTGCTTGACAATTGATTACCATATAGCCAAAGAGTTGAAATCTCACTCATGTTGGCAACATTCAATGGGATCGAACCGTTAAGTTCGTTCAAATCAAGCCAAACAGTATCCAAATGTGGGATTCAAAACAGAGATTCAGGGATTGAACCTTTCATGAAATTAGAATATAAGTTTATGAATCTTAAATTCAGCTAATTCCCAAAGCTCTCTGGTATATCACCAGTGAAGCTGTTTTGGGAGAGTTCCAAGTATTCAACCAGACTATAATTACCTAATTCAGAAGGGATTGAGCCTGCGAAACCATTGTTGCTGAAATCAATGGACTTCAATTGGGTCAATTCAGCTATCTCAGGTCATAATCGACCCAATATTTGAAAACCAGAGAGGTTTAAAGAAACTACAAAGTGGTTGTGGTAATGATTGGAGTCACATTCGACTCCAACCCATGAACAACGAGTGGAATCACATTCGACTTCAATTGAATAATTTTGTAGCCCCAAATTCAATTACTCGTATGATAATCAATCACAAAAATACACAAACAAACTTAGAAAATATAAATATCAACGTAATTATAAAGACTGAAATTATAAATATCAAAATGGCATAAAGATCGAAATATAAAAAATATCAACGTAATTTACACAATTAAGTATTATTATAACTTTAGAGGAATACTCAAATATTTCATCAATATACTTGAGATGAATGTAAAACTACTATTTTCATGTGATTACCTCATTTAGTTCCTGAGCACACTTGGTAGCCTTCTTGACCTCCTCATCATATTTGAATCTCCACTCTGCAGATTCCTCCATAGCCTCTCTATTAGCAAGATCAAACTGTCTTCGACAAGAAGCCGACAAACAGAAACATCACGTACTACTTGAATGCATGAAACAGACCTTGAATATATATTAAGAAACACAAAAGAAATATATATTTTTATGTAATATGAGAAAATTAATTACAAAAAGATCAAAGAAAAGAATATGATTTGTAACTAATAGCCAAACACAAATAGGGGAGAGAGAGAGAGAGACATGCCTCAACAACTTCCCACATTATTTTGAATTTTTTTTTTTCTGTCTCTATTCCTGAGCACTTGGTAGCCTTCTTGACCTCCTCGTCATATTTGAATCTCCACTCTGCAGATTCCTCCATAGCCTCTCTATTAGCAAGATCAAACTGTCTTCGACAAGAAGCCGACAAACAGAAACATCACGTACTACTTGAATGCATGAAACAGACCTTGAATATATATTAAGAAACACAAAAGAAATATATATTTTTATGTAATATGAGAAAATTAATTACAAAAAGATCAAAGAAAAGAATGTGACTTGTAACTAATAGCCAAACACAAATAGGGGAGAGAGAGAGAGAGAGAGAGAGAGACATGCCTCAACAACTTCCCACATTATTTTGATCTTTCATTTCTATGATCCATATGACATGGATTCAAATCCACAAAAATAGAGACAGAAAAAAAAAATTCAAAAAGTTTTTGAAGTACTTTACAGCTCATGTCTTTACAATCCATTTTGTGTTGCAATGTAGTGGTGCTTAATTGAAGAAGATACACAACAAAAGTCTATTTTCACTGAGAAGTCATAAAGTCTAAATTATCTGGCTCAATTTAACAAGAACACAACACAACACAAAATTACTGAAATTGAAGGATTCCTAATTGAAATGTGAGGATTTCATAGTTTATATTAGATCAAACCCTATTTCCTTCATTATTTGTAGTAATAGGCAGACCAAAGCAGTAAAACCCTTCAATAAGAGAACAAATGAAATGAAACAGAGGTTAAAGTCAAAATTCAATGTAAAATTACCAAAGCCTCAAGTACACATCAATTTGAGTCATCACTGCCCATTGAATTTGTTAAATAAATTGGTAAGGTAGGGTCATGTTTTGCATAATTTGTTAAACAAAAATCTGCTACTGAAACATATATATATATATATATAGAGAGAGAGAGAGAGAGAGAGAGCATACGCGAGACGGAGCATCAATGGAGGCTCTTCTCAGCGATGAAGCATCTGGATCTCACGGCGGTGGTAGTGGATCTGCGAAGATCGGCGGAGGAGGGGGAGGTGGGGCGTGAAAAGAGGGCAGCGACGCAGGTGGTAGCGGCGGCAGTCACGATGGCGATGGCGGAGGAGGAGGAGATGCTTCGGTTGCCGGTGAACGTGAGGAGGAGCGGCGGCGGGATGGTGACACAGCGGGACGACTTCGCCCCCTTCATCTTCACTTCTTCTCTTCACCTGCCCTAATATTTTATGAAAAATGTTTGGTCACAAATTGTGTGATTTAAATGTTTTAAAAATGTCAAAATAATGTCATTTTGATATTTTTGAAATTATTTTGTATTTAAAACGATTTCGTTTTAATATTTTTAAATCATTTAAATCACAAAATTTGTGTCTATCAATCATTATCCGGAGACTTTAATAGAGTATCCCCACATTCTCCTACAATTTATTATTATTATTATTATTATTATATTATGTGAGATTCTATTACTTTTTACAAAATTAAAAATTAATAAAATTAAACTCAAATGTGATCGTTTCAGTTTCTCAACGAATAAAATTGAAGGATTTAGTTTGGTGCTAAAATTTTCTTTAACTCGGACTAAATCAAACTAAATTACTTACACCACTTATGAAGAGGAGAAGAGAAAAACACACACACAAAATAAGTGAAAAAAAATAAATATAATTAAATGTACCTTGATTATAATTTCATTATTATCATCTTAATTACACACGCAAATAAATAAATAAATAAATTATAAGGACCTTTGAAGCAAACGGAGTATAAGGCCACTGCCTCAATTGCCTACGGGTAAGGCCGGCCTTGCACAACATTATCCCCCACTGAAACTATTCCTTTCACAATATATTTGACTATATGATCAAAGTATCATAATATTAGTTTTTGGTAGACGGTTCATTTTTCCCTAGCTTACAAAGTCGCTAAGTCAAGCTAACAACGTTCCCATTATCAGTATGACATATAAAAATTTTAGAGGTCAAATTTTTTAATCTTTAAAAGTAAAAATTTTGATGCAAAAGATATTTATGAATCAATTTTCATCGTTATGAAAATAGTCGCTAAAAAATCGTCTTGAAAAGTTTAAAACAAAGTTTTTAGCGACAAATTCTGAAAATATAATAATAAATAAACTTTCAAGAACAAAATAATTTATTTTTTGAGATAAAAAAGTTGGTCCCAAAAGGATAATAACTCATTACTAATGTCTAATTTTCATTGCTAAAAATACAATGACACTTTTCGCAACAAAAATATTTGGTTCATAAAAAATAATTTTATTCCTAAATTTTAATCTCTAAAATCTTAATTTTTTTGTATAGTAAAAATTAATCAAAGTTATTCTATCATTCTTTTTCCTGTTAACTAACAATTAATCCGTGCGATGTATAAGATGAAATTATAAGTTTGAAATTTACACAAATGATATACTGATAACTTTTACATGATCTTGGATAAATTAAATAGCAAAATGTAGGTTGCATAAAAATTCTTAAAATCAAATAAAATGTATTAAATTTTTTAATGCATAAACATAATAAGGGAATATTCTCGGTAAAGATTTGACTTGAAATGTTTAGGATATACAGTTAAATAATATTTTAAATTTTAATGAAAATATATCTTAAACTTTTAGTTTGAAATTTTTGTACTTATAAATTTTAGTATTACTAATGGTTTTATTGATTCAACATGTTCAAAGATTAATTATCTTTTTATTGTTTAAGCAAAAATATCTTCATTCAAATTTTTGACAAACATAATTAATGAAATTGTTGATTGACTTATATATATTCATAATACAATATGGGTAACATGACATTTGGATGGTCATTACCGCCTACGGCAAAAAAAAAATAATTTAATTTATTAGTTTATTAGCTTATTTGACTGACGTTATCTCTTTATTTTTTTACACATTTTTTTAAAACAAGTTAATAAACTAAAAAAAATCACTTTCCAAAATAAGCATATTCTTGCCGCCTAACCTAGTTGTGGGCAAATTATTCAATAATCTCGGAACACCACATAATCATATTCCAAGTTAGTCACCAATTACTTAGCCCCATGTTGTTCCTCCATCTTCAACATAAATCATAAGCTCCTATCCCTCTCCCTTCCTATTAATCAAAATCTTATGAAGTATATCACGTGTTCATACTCCGAAACTAAATAATCAACCCTTAGTTGTGTGCTTAAATGGGTAGACATGACACCGCCATGGACACGCAACCAAGACTACATAAAATTAAAAACAAACTAGAAATCTTTGGCCTTGTTTGGTTTGTTTTTTAGAAAAAATTTTAGAAAAAATTCTCTACAAACAAATTTTCAAGAGTAATCAAACCAAACAAATTTTTCCAAAAAAAAAATTTAAAATTTGGTTTGGTTACCTACTTTGCAAAATCACACTCTCTCTCATGCACATCAATCAATCACTTTTTTAAAACTCTCTTCCCAAAACAATTTTCCAAAATCATTTCTAAAAAAAAGCAAACCAAAGAAGTTTTCGTACTTTTTATCTCAAAAACTACTCTATATTTTAGTTATTATGTCATTTTAATTTTTATGATTTTTATTGGCTTGGTTTTGATAATAAATTTATGATTTTATTATAATTTAGTTCAATTACAACTATTAACATTTTTTAATGCAAAATATGCACATAGACCGTATGTGTCATGATTATGGATAAAAATATAAATTTGCTCAATTTAGTAAGTTAACATCAACTAATTCAGTAATAATTTTTGATAAAAAATACTAATGACGTTATCAATTGGATCAAATTAATAAAAAAAAGTAAAAGTAAAAGTAAAAATTGAGTCAATTGATAGTGTAACGATCAAAATGACATAAGGAACATTGGTGTAAATTGCCCTAAAATTGATCATTCAACTAGTTTATTAAATCATTTACTAATCAAACATGCCAAGGAACATGAAATTGAAAATTAGAGAATGAGGAACAATATATACTTGTTTTTTTTTTTTTTTTGGTGTTTTATTGGTAGTCTTTATACATTTAAAAATTTAAAAATCTTATTCAATTTGCGTATAAATATTTTAAAAAAATATATGATGCAATTATACTAAAAAAAAAAGAAAAAAATATTGTTCCAATGTTCAGTAAATAGAATATAAAAAAAAATTACAATATGGGGGAGAGATAAACTAACTAACACAAAGGGTATCAAACTCATTTTTATTGACATTGATCCTGTGATTTCACAAGAGGTGCTAAACAATCACTAGATCAAATGCCCTCATTGAATTCACTTCAAAAAAATTCAAAAGTGATGGTCAACTTCCCTCCCATAAGAAAGACAACTCGAGACATAAATGCATGTTACATGTACTTATAAAATTCAAGAAAATCATAATAAAAATAAAAAAATAAAAAAAATCCAAGAACAAAGTTATTGGACAAGTATATATGCAATTCATAAACATATGCATGCACAGAAATGTAATACAATTTAAATAGATCCATTAATTTTTTATTTTCGATAACATTACAAACAGAAATTGAGGAGCACAAAATTTAGACCAGCATCTCTAATGGAACTTCTTGCAAAAACCTTCAAAAATACACACACCAACTCAAACATTGTTAGTCACCAAGCTTCTTTTTTATTGATGTATTTGGCTATGTAAAATTTTTACTGTCAAAATTTATCAATAAATTTTTTTTTGCTAATTAAAAAAACTAAAAAAATTGAACATCTCCCATCCGCCATATCGAGGAATGAAGCGATATCAACAACGTGGTCACAAGCATTACTTAATCACACAAAAACAAAGAAGACCAAAGTAGCAGTTAAAATTAGGGGTGGGTGCGGATTGGTTGCGGCTACGGAACCTTTAATCCGTCATTCGTCCGCTAGGTTGGCGGATTGGAAAAAATCGATCCGTATCCGTCCGCCAATCTGGTGGATGTGGATTGAGCGGATTGGCGGATTAGTGGATGGATGCGAATCGGTTTGGCGGTTTAAAATTTTGTAAATTTTCAACATAATTCAACTTGTGCACTTTCTAAAAAAAAAAATAAAATATTACAGTCAATGACTTAAAAAAGTGTTACAGTCATTGGATACCTCATCCAAAAAAAGAAAGTTTGAAACTTTAGAATATTACAATCACTGCATGCCTCATCCACATATTGAAATCACAGTATGTCTTATCCACATAAAGTATTACAATTTGTGATTCTTAAAATATAAAAATAATTCAAACCACCAAAATCATGAACAGAGTAGTAGTAGAGATTGTATGCCTCTGTATTGTTACATCTATATCTGTTTTTTAAAACAAAAATCATTATTTTTAAAGTTAGATTTAAAAACAAAAAAATATAGATAAATAATACATTTGTTTTTTTTTCAATTCAAAAAATATATTCAACATAATATTTAAACCCTTTTTCAATTAAAAACACAAATAGAATATCTAAACAAATTGAAAACACAAAGTCTTATAAATTAGTAGGGATGTTCGTGGTTTGGTGGTTTGGTTGCGGTCAAAGGAACCTCAAATCTGCCGTCTGTCTAAAACTAGGCGGATTGGAAAAAATTAATCTGTAACCGTCCACTCGTCGTCACGCATCCGTTCAAAATACGACGAATCGGTTCAATTTGGACGAATCAATATATCCGCTGAGCATCTCCAACCCACTAGGCATATCATGCTTGTTAGTCAAAATGCCTAGTATAACTTATTTTTTCAACTCCAATGCACTAGGCATTTTAGCTCAACTCACATTCACTAGCTACATGTAGCTAGCCTTCAAGACTAGGCAAAATGTATTTAATCATTAGGATCATTTCCCTCCATCTTTGTTGCTGATGTGGCATTTTATAAAATTAATAGTATTTAGATGGATAGCTAAAATAAAGAGCATTATTGGAGTAGAAATATGAAATAGTTGATAGGCA